GTTTCTCCTATGCCTTAATTTAAAAAACAAAGTAATTTAAAAATTCACAAGGCTTACAAAGAGGGGAATTCTAAGATAAACTGAAAATAAGACAGAGCACAGATATTCAAGGGTATCTATAGTGGATGCAGATCCTCAGTGGAATTTTTTGAATATATTAATCTAATTAAAAATGAATATGTTTCATTAATTAGGGGAACTGGTCAATTTTATAAGCTTAAAATTTAAAAAGGCAGTAAAAAAATTTTCAGTGTAGCCATTTCAGCCCATTCAATGAGGTGAGGAGTCATCATCATTACTACAGCAGCTGAGATTTACAACAAGCATTCCATTTTCCAGGTACTGTGGTCTTAGCTACCAAAGTATACTGATCTTTGTAAAACCTGATCCATTGTAAAATGGATATATCAGATCATTATTTTTGCTTTCATCAAAAGTCCCCATTTGTACTAATTACATACTTGCCAAGGAAACTTTATATTATTGCCTAAAATATTGATCTACCAAAAAATAAAAATAAAAATGATGATCATATAATAGTCCAGTTTTCTATTTCATTAGATAGGGATGTCTCAAGGGAAATATAGGAAATGGCTTTGATGATAATTTGTCACCTAAGAATGTCATAGGGAATGAATATGTTTATTGGTCTAATCACTGGAACAATAAACTCTGAGTTATGAGTGTCTTTCCATCACTCACCCTAGACACGGATCGGGGGGTGCTGGGGCTTCACAGGGCTGACTCAGGTCTTACAGTTCTTATTACTACTGCTTCTGTCTACTAAAGTAGGTTTCAAAAAGGGATCAGAAATATTCTGCTTAAGAAAACTAAATTTTACACATGTTAAAAAATATCTACAAAAAGAAATCAGACATAAAAAGGACAATTTCTTTAACAACTAATGTTGGAGAAATGGATTATCTACATGTAAAAAAAATAGGGCTGGACCCTTATCTTACACCATATACAAAAAATGACACAAAATGTATTGAAGATCTAAATATTAGCCCTCTAAGCCATAAAATACCTAGAATAACACATATGAGAAGAGTTTTGTAACAGTGGATTTGGCAATGGTTTATTGAATCACCAATAATCACCTGTGCACCAATAGCACAGGCAACCAAAACAAAAATAGACAGATGGACTATCTCTGACTTTAAAACTTTTTGTTCAAGTAGTGACACAATCATCAGGGTGAAAAGACAATCTATGGGATGGGAGTAAATATTTGCAAATCTTACATCTGATAAAGGATTAGTGTCATAATATCTAAACAACTCCTACAACTAAACAACAACTAAAATAAACCAAATAACCCAATTAAAAATTGACAAAGGACTTGCATAAACATATTTTAAAAGATGATATACAATGGCCAATAGCACCTGAAAAGATGCTCATCATCACTAATCATCAGAGAAATGCAAATCAAAATGACAATGATATATCATCTCACATACATTAGTATGACTACTATGTATAAAAAAAGAAAAAGAACCAGAAAATAACAAGAGTTGAGAGGAAGTAGAGAAATGGCAAACCTTATGCACAGATGGTAAAATTGTAAAATGTTGCAATTGTTATAGGAAACAATATAGAGTTTGCTCAATTTTTCTTTAAAGTAGAACTAGCATATATTTTAGCAATCTCACTTCTGAGAATACATTCAAAAGAACTGAAAGCAGGATATGAAAGACATATTTTAATATTTATGTCCATAGAAGTATTATTCACAATATCCAAGATGGGAAAGCAACCCAAATGTCTGTTGAGAGATTAACAGATAAACAGAATGTGGTGTGCACTGTGTACTATTCAGCTCAATAAATGAAAGAAATTCCACCACATGTAATGCTGTAACATGGATGAAGCATGGGGACATCATGCTAAGAGAAATAATCTAATCACAAAATGAGAAATATCGCAAATTTCCACTTTCATGATGTATTTGAAGTAGTCAGATTTATACATATAAAAAGACAAAAGGGTGTTACCAGAGTCTAGGGGTAAGGCGAGAATGGAAAATTGTTTAGTGGGTATAGAATTTCAGTTGTGCAAAATAAACAAGTTCTGAAAATCTATTTTGAAACAATGTCAATATACTTAAAACTACTGAACTGTACACTTCAAAATGCTTAAGATGGTAACATTTATACTGATTTTTTAAAAATCACAACAAAAGGAATGAGGCAAGGTTGTGCCACTTACTATACTGGCAAATTTATATTTAATTCATTCAAAATCATCACTAGATAGACAGATGTCTTTATTTTAATTTGCATAAAGAGAAAAAGTAGCTCTCAGTGTTAAATATCGTGCCCAGAGGTTCCAGAGCTGTAACAGTATTGAAATCTCTGTGTCTAAATCCATAATCTGCATTCCCGATACTAAACTATGCTCTTTTAATAAAATGTGCAAAACTCCCAGCAAGTCTCTACCTAAGTCTACTGACTCTATATGGAATATTTACCATTTACTGAAAAGTCATACTTCCTATTGTACTAGATACATATATAATTTAATTTTTGAAATAATTCTATATGTTTTATTGGCTCTTATCGACAAATGGTGAAACTAAGGTTGAAAAGATTAAATTATTTGCCCCATTTCATGTAGTAAACCCAATGTTTTAGGAAGTCAGTGCTTCCTTCACAATGATATAATTCTCTCAAGACCTCAAAATTATCTAATTTTTCCTATTCATATCATCATATCTACTTAAGAGGCATTAACATCTTATACGTTTCTGCAAAATTATACTGACTTTTGCTATTTGCTTTTTCAGTTAGATAAATTTTGTCTCAGTATAGAGAAAATGGCATCACAATTTCCTTGTCAAATATCTTTTCAGTTAAAATGGATCAAGTATCTACTATAAAACTGGAGTTATAGCAATAAAACACAAGTTTCATTCATTCATAGAAATTATATTCTAGTGGGGAACTGACATATTATAATCACATTAGCCAATGTTTTGTAAAAAAAAAAACATAAAGCAGAATAAGGGGTTAAAAGTTGAAAGGGGTATCATCTCTTATGTAATAGTTAATGTAGTCAGAGAAAGCCTGCCTCAACAGGCTTTCATTGAAGCAGTTAAAAGTTAGGCATAATTCTAATTATTTTTAAAGTATAATCAGCTATTATTTTGAGAAGGCTCAGTGTAAATAAACTACTTCTACAGAAATAAACAAGGCACTGCACAACTGATGTTCCATTCATAAATGTTGATAACCATCACCCCTATAAAACAATTTACATGACACTAAAAGGTTAAATTTGTGAACTATCCTTAAATGACTGTTATGAATTTTATATGCTTTTCTTATAGGAAAATCACTTATGCTATAATTGTGCCTATTGTATTTTATTTGGCATGTAATTACTAAAAGTTTAGTTATCTATTTGAAGCTTCTGCTGGAAAGTTGGAAGGGAGGATATTTTGCTAGAGAGGCAAAATGACAGTGATGATAAATAACCTATGTCAAACTGAAATCAATAGAAGACACAGAAGAACAACCTAATGTAGGCAGGGCTTAAAACCTAGATGACAGATTGATAGGTGCAGCAAACCACAAAGGCACATGTATACCTATGTAACAAACATGCATGCTCTACACATATATCCCAGAACTTAAAGTGAAAGAAATATATATATATATATATATATATATATATATATATATGGAGAGAGAGAGAGAGAGAGAGAGAGAGAAAGAGAGACACATATATACATAATAATACTATAATACTATTCGGCCACAAAAAAAGAATGAAATAATGGCATTTACAGTAGACGGAATGGAATTAGAGACCATTATTCTTAGTGAAGTAACTCAGGAATGAAAAAAACAAACATCATATGTTTTCACTCATAAGTGGGAGATAAGCTATGAGGACTCAAAGCATAAAAATGATATAATGGACGTTGGGGACTCAGGGGAAAGCATGGGATGGGAGTGAGGGATAAAAGACTATACACTTGTTACAGTGTACACTGCTTGGGTGATGAGTGCACCAAATCTCAGAATTCACCATTAAAAAATTATTCACGGAATCAAAAACAATTTTTCTAATGATGGCAGCTAACTTAGGGTAATTAAGGGTAAAATAGTAAAGATATTTTAATAATCCTCTATACTATCAAAATATGAGAACTACAGTTTAATTAATAACCACAACTAGATTGGAGTTAACTACAACATGCTCAGCCATAATGAGTCTACACTGTTTAGGAGGCAGAGGGGCATGCCATGTATTTTATAATAATTTAAAACATACATATTGCTTAATATTAGTCAACTTGGTTTTAAAAGAGGAAGCTCTAAGTATCTATACGCACGTCTTTGAGACATAATATATTTTCTGGACTGGCTAGACTGCTTTTTGAGTAAATTGGAGTCACCAAATCAAGGGATATATTCAATCCATGATCGTTAGGATTTCTCATATGCAGCATTTGGAGGGTTTGATACATCAAAGCATTCTAAATAAAATCTTCTCAGATCTAATTTTTATCCTTCTTTGAAGATACTCTAAAAGTCCTCACATATTTTCCAATTAGACCACATACTTTGAAAAAGAAGCTATATTATTAAAACATTTTAAAAAAATACATGCTGAATCTGAACATCGAAATGATTAAAATGACCCACTCAGAATAAAATTATAATTGTTCCAATAATGTATGTTATTACTTGTAAATGAGAGTCAACAATGGATACACACGGACATAAAGATAGAAAATAATAGACACTGAGGACTCCAAAAAGAAGGAGAATGAAAGGGGCCTGAGGGCTGACAAATTACTTATTGGTCACAGTGCTCACTGTTGGAGTGGTTGGCACATTAGAAGCCTAAAGCTTACCATAATGCAATATATGCATGTGCCAAAACTGCATATGTATCCCCTGAATCTAAAATCAAAGTTAAAAACTAAAAAAAGTTAAAAATCATAGCCATGTAACATAAATATATAAAGGAACAAAAGTAATTACTCTGTAAGATCTTCTATCTTTTTTTCCACTAGAGTAGGAGGCACGTTGGAAACAATGACTTGCATATCCAGCTGATTGACCACAGAGACCTGAAAGAAGAAAAAACATAATTCATTTTTCTTTAACTCACTGAAATGCCCATACTCAGGAAATCCCCACATTACCTCTTCCCTACTATGCAAAGACATGGTGGTTTCTCATTTTTAAATTCAGAACAAATACTTTTAAAAATTATGCAATCTACACTAGGGGTTGGAGACTAACTGGGGCAGACTGAGCATGAAAAACTATTTGTTATTTACCTAGAAGTTAAGAATCCTGAGTGATTTCAATTGTTTTTGGTTTTGTGTTTGTTTTATTGGTTATTTACTGAGAGATCAAAGGTGGCATTTTTGTTTTTTAATTTGATAGTTAAGGAACATTCAAAATCAATAAAAACACATGTTTCGTATTTTACAAGTCTTGAGAAATCATTTATTTATTCTAACTACTGGTTAAAATAATTCATTCTATGAGATCATCACTTAAAGTTTTCTTGTCTACTTTAACAAACTTTAAATTTGTGTAAGTAGAGATATATATTGAGAACTTTACATATGGGTTAAATGAGCTAATTTAACAGCTATTGATAAATATGCCTCATTCATTAAAAATTTACTGAATTTCTTCTATGTTCTTATATTTGAAAAATAGAAAAAATAAAAATATTTATTCTGTGTTTACAACATGGCATTTATTCTTCTCAATATTTTACAGGTTTAACTCATTGAAATCTAATAACAGTGTCAGGTTATTAAAATCATTTCAATTTTAAAATTTAAAAAAAACCATAAATTGAAGATATGTTTAATAGGTTAATCCTAATTGAATGCAGTCTGTTTTACCCCAGAACTTGTGCTCTTTACTGTTATCCGATATTGATATAAAAATTCTACAAAATCACACATTATCATGCACATTTTCATACACACTATTATCATTATGTATTATCATACACACTATTAAAGTATTATAAATGCATTCATACCAGAATCATAAGTTGAACATTCTGCATTAGGCATGTTTAGCACTGTATCTCAATATAATCTACAGTAGGGAGTAATTTCATGTTGACTTCATTTCTTTATAGGTATGTGTATTAAAACCCAGAAAACTCTATAACCAGGCCCTTGAGTCACTTGCTTGAGTCCACTCCTATCCTGTGGAGAACTTGCTTGCTTTAATAAATCCCTGCTTTCCTTGCTTGGTTTGTTTTGTTCCTTTGTTAATTTGTGTGTTTTGTTCAATTCTTTGTTCAAAACACTAAGGACCTGGACAATTCACACTCAAAGCCTTCCTTCACATAACAATACTATAGCTAGGCATAGTGGTGTGTGCCCGCAGTTCTAAACGCTGGGAAGGCTGAGGTGGGAGAACTGCTTGAGCCCAGGATTTTGAGGTTGCAATAAACTACTATCACTACACTGTACTTTGACCTGGGGGACAGAATGAGGCCTTGTGCCTTAACAACAACAACAAAAGTGATACTAATTATAGAATTATGTATTTCTACCAGACATAATCAGCCTGGGTATTAACCAAAGTCAAGATTTTTCTAAGTGAATATAAGGGAAAAAAGCGAGAAAGTAAAATTTTATATGATGGAGTGCTTATTATAATTGGTAATGCATTATAAGTCCAGTAAGCAAGAAAGAGAGAACATGAGGGGTTCTCATGAGAGAACATGATGGAAGTTGAAAAAATAGTAGGCTAATTAGACTGGAGGTCCTAGTAGGAACACAAGACTGCTGAATATAATGGGGAATGTTAATTAAATGTTATAGTCAAAGAGTGGGAGATTTAAAATGGTGGTTATAAAGGTAATGGCATAAATAAGTACAGTTCTAAGTGGTTGGAATAAGGTGGAGGGCAAAGTCACTAGAAGAAAGGCAATAAAAAATGTGAGTTCAGAATACTGGAAGAATTATCTCTGCATAGAATAAAATGGCCAAAAATTAGGACAGGAGAATTGCTGGAGATAGTTGAAATAACTTAGGAGCTAAACTCTGAAGCAATGATGGGGAATGACCCAAGGTTTGGAAAATTACAACAGGCAGTGAATGATCATGTCAGACAATGAGAATGAAAGTTGGATTTTTAGGAATGAGGAAGGATTTAGAAGTGACAATGTTATAGACTAAGGATCCTACCCTGTCAGTGAGCAGTTTGAAGACTATGGCAAACAAAATTAGGAAAGAAAACCAACAAACAAAAGCTATCACTTGAGAAGCCAGCAGTAGAAATAGCATCCTCAGAAGAAACTAGATATTCATTAAACAAGAAGGTATTAGCCAAATTTAACATTTTCTCTTCATATACTCATAAAAATTCCAATGGCTTCCCAGTGCTTCTAGAAAAATGTTTTGGTATCTTTTGTTATGGCTTATATCTTTTATATGGGACACCTACTTCCATTTCCAGCCCCCTTCCTCATTCACTTTTCCTCTCACACTCTTTTGGGCTGAGTACACATTTGTAACATATTCAGAACTGTCATCATCTGTCTTACTTCTTGGTTTTGGCATTCGTACCCTCTGCATAAACCTCTTATTTATATCATATCTCCTTTCTCTTGACTGAAAGGATTGCAAAGCTTATCATAAATATCATTTGGCTGGGATGGCATGCCAGATATTCTTAGTTTGCATCAGAACATTATATCATATATACATATATATATATAACAAATTATGGTTTTTTTGAATTAAATTTACTTCTTTGTAAATATATTTTGAATGATATTAAAAGGCATATTCTTGAATTTTCACACAATAGGTATGGAATTCAAATATTAAAAACAAAATTTATATCTCATATATACATTAATAGGTACATAATATATATACATATTATATATAAAACTAGATTTGATATAAGGATTATGCATTAAAATCATATTACATAAAGATTATATATATTTAACTTTTGTGTGGGTTGATTTTTATTGTATTTTAATTAGAGTAGTGATTCTATTGTTTAGTTTTTATTTTATATTTTTTGAGACAGAGTCTCTGTCTATCACCCAGGCTGGTGAGCAGTGGCTTAATCTCGGCTCACTGCAACATCCGCTTACCAGGTTCAAGCGATTATCCTGCCTCAGTCTCCCAAGTAGCTGGGATTACAGGCGCGTGCCACCACAGCTGGTTACATTTTTTTATTTTTAGTAGAGACAGAGTTTTACCATGTTGGCCAGGATGGTCTCAAACTCTTGACCTCAAGTGATCTGCCCACCTTGACCTCCCAAAGTGCTGGGATTACAAGCATGAGCCACCTCGCCCGGCCTTACTGTTTAGCTTTTAGACCAGAAGGTGCATATCTTAAATAACAGAACAAAGAATAACATTATGTTCTATAAGGTTTACAGATCTTAATTTGGTCAAAAATTTATGCCAAACTTTGTATCTCTTATGTCAAAAGCTTCCTGGCTTAGAGTTGTCTTCATTGACTCTGTTGCAGCTTTGCTGTTAGCTCCTGGAGGACTGTTTTGGTCACAATCATAGTGATTGCTCTTCACCATTATCTAAGAAGAAAAATATTTGATCACTGATGTCTGCTTGTATATGACTTTTAAGCTTGTCCAGGGAACTAAATGAGAACTGTGAAAAATGAAAATTTATGATGTAAAGAACAAAAGACAACTTATTCTTGATCTGTCTTTATGTGACAAAGATTTCCAATAAATACACTTTGTATTAGATTCATCAGACAAAAATCCAAATAACCAATGCTTTCAAGTTGGTAAAGAGTCCACAGGATATATACACTGGTGTTAAATATTTTCAATAAGAGTTCATATCAAACTTCTTTTTGAAATGATCTATCATTGAACTTCTGCCCAGCCTAAGTGAAAAAGAACAGCGATACCATTGACTAAAGCCAAATATATCTTTTGTCAAGGCTAATAAATGTCATCACTGGGGATTTTGATAGAACAAAGAAATCAATATTATTGGAACCAAATTTGCCCCCAAACATTTTCTTTATTTTCTCAATTACAAAATGCTGAAAATAATTTAAACAAATAATTTCATAGTTTAATTTTCATACTACAACTCTGGGAAGCATTTTAAAATTTGATGTAGCAACACTATATTATAAATGAGATTTGCAGACCAAATAGAAATCCAATGCTTAGATCATTGTTGTTACAATCATATTTTTCCAAATACTATAATGTATTCCTCAAAGGTCAAGAAAAATACCCATAAAGTATATATACATGAATCACATATTTACATATTCCTAAACTATAGTGACTAACAATCTGGTTGAAAATTAGTAATATTTACATTTTTGAAAACCTGTTTTAAATTAATCTTAGAAGTTCCAGAAGCTGAAAACAGTGACCCCTGGCTAGTATTACAGCCACTTCCATTTCCCAAAGTTTTATCTACTTACAAGTACATCGGCTTTGCCGCTTAGTCCTTTCCCATAGTTGTCAGTTGCAATAACTTGAAACTTGAAGTAGGATCTCCTCATATTATGAAAGAGCATCGCAGTTTTGATAAGCCCTGTGTATGTTTCCACTACAAATCCTTCTTTTCCCTCTTTAATTGGTGGTATTATGAGTCTGTATGCCATGACACTATAATTGCCAGTATCTTTATCAGTAGCCTAGGAATAGAAAAAAAAAAAAAAAAAAGAGATTATAATTAAGCAGGAAAAAAATAACCTTTACGAAATGGCTTATTTTTGTTTTTAAGAATGATGTTTCTTATGTAATAATACAATAAAGCCCTCCAAAATCTCTATTTTTTGGATATAGTTATGTAGATTAATAGACTCTGTGTCCACAGTTTTGAATGGTTATTAGAATGATAGTAACTACTGAATTGTGAATAAAAAAGACATAGGTATAATTTTGTATCCTTCAATAGGTTTCTCCTTATCCCTCCTTTCCTTTGACCCTTTCCACCCTCCAGTATCTCGTATTCTATATTTTTATGAGATCATCTTTCTTTCACATTCCACATATGAGTAAGAACATGTGGTGGTTAACTTTCTGTTCTTGGCCTATTTCATGTAACATAATGTCCTAGACTATACCACTGTAGAATAACTATAATTAATAATAACATTGTTCTAAATAGCTAGAAGAAGGCTATTGAATTTTCCCAACACAAAGAAGTGCTGTTTGAGATGATGTGCTAATTACCCTGATTTGATTTCTATGCATTATACATATAGAAATATCTATGTACCCAATAAGTAAGTCCTATTATTATTTGTCAGTTTAAAAATAGACTTATTTTTTAAAGAAGACATAGACAAACACAGGGTCAATGAATCAAGATTTTTGGTTTACATGTTTGTTTAGTTTAACTCTGTGTTGATCCAAATTGGTTGAAGGATGAGACTGGTTGTTTACCTAATGTCTGTCTTGCTGTAATAGCTATATAATGTGATTGTATTTTTGATCTAGCATATAGCCTAAAGGGGATAAATATAAAAGAATGCAGTAAAATATCTCAAATGAAATAAAGTTCAGAGTTATAACAAATTTAGAGATGCATAAAAAGATCCTAATTAATTAATGCCCTAACATAATTAGAGAGTTAGAATTCTATCCAACTTCCTTTTTAATCATCCTGTATCTTGATTAAGCAGATTTGTTCCTGGTGATAGGTATTTATGATACACATATTAAAGTTTCCTGCAATTTAGAATTAAAAATGACTAACAAATTGTTTAGATTGTTTTTCATTTGTTTTTAAGTACAGCTATGAGAATCATAAATTAGGCTGGCTTTATGATGTCTAATTAGGGAAATTTTTGAGAATGTCAATTTCAGCATTATTTCATAATCAAATACTTTGAAAAGAAATGGTGGATAGGAGAGGTTTAGAGACTTGATAAAAGGCTATATATACCTTATTCATGTAAATTATATATATTTATTTATTATAAAAATAATTATTTTATTATCTGATTATTCTTAATTGTATCTATGCTATTAAGTATGAGTATGCGTTTATGACCTGCCATTTCTAAGAATTGCTAAGAATTGTACAAAATAGTCTTATCTAACAATAAAAAAACTCTGAGAAATACATTGTTTTAATTAAATAAATTAGTGCTGTCCAATAAAACTTTCTGAAATACAGAAATGTTCTTAATCAGCTTTGTCAGTAGGTACTAGCCAAATATGACAAATGAATAGCTGAAAAGAGGTTGAAGTGACTAAAACATTGAAATTTCAATTTAATCTCATTTTACTTTAAGTTACATAGTGAAAGATTACATAATCAGTGGTAAAGTTGAGAAACAAATGATGAAAATAGTAAATAATTGCAAATGTGTATTCAGATACATCATGAACTTGATTTAGCTTCAAATTTTATATATATTCTGAAACGTTTAAAACATTTCCAGATAATCACAGCTACTTGTTAGAAAAAGTAATTTAAACTAAACAACCCAGATAATTTCACTTCAGGATCAGGTATTTCATGAATTTTCTAGGGAGTTAATATTCTTTTTTTTTTTTTTTTGAGACAGGGTCTTACTCTGTCACCCAGGCTGGAGTGCAGTGGCATAAACTCGGCTCACTGAACCTTAGTCTGCTGGGTTCAGGCCATCCTCTTATTTTAGCCTCCAAGTAGCTGGGACTATAGGCACTCCACCATGCTTGGCTAATTTTTTGTAGACACAGGGTCTTGCTATGTTGCCCAGGCTGGTTTCGAACTCCTGGAATCAAGCAATCCTCCCACCTTTGCCTACCAAAGTGCTGGGATTACAGACACGAGCCACTGTGCCCAGCCTAAAATTATCTTCAGAAGAGGACAAGCTCAAACTACCAGCTAATCTTTTAAATAGTTTATATGCCTTAGAGCATGGCAGCACTCAGTTTTGGTATTTGAGTAATGGTAATTAGATACCAATGTTAGGTCACATTCTCACTTAAAGGTAAAAGAAAAAGAAGAAAGAAAGAAAAATAGTATCAAATTTTTTTGTACTTTAAGTTTCAACCACAGGTTTATAATCATTTAACAAAGGATGACATACAAAAGAAAAAGCATATTCCCAACTAAAATAAGTCAAAGTCTGAATGAAGGTATCCAAGACATTTCTTCCATACAGAATGAAGAATTTGGAACTATTGTCAAATTAGTCAGATTTGGTTACATATTACTTTCTAACTTCTTATTAACATAGAAATTTTTCTGAAACAAACTTTTTACTATTAATGTAAACTTAAGGAATAACAAACATGCAAAGAAGTGTACAAATTATAAATATAAAGCTCAATAGAATTTTGCAAAATACACACATCCACATGACCAGCATTTGCATGAAGAAACAAAAAAAGCCAGGCATGGTGGCTCAAACCTGTAATCCCAGCACTTTGGGAGGCCAAGGCTTGAGGATCACCTGACCCCAAGAGCTTGAGACCAGCCTGAACAACATAGTTGCATCTCTTGAAGCTCTCTTGAAAAAAAAAAAACCCCACATTCCAGAATGCACTTCATCTACTTGGAATTACAATCTGAGACCTTTTCCAGGAAAATTACTTTCCTAATCTAACACTGATTAGTTATGCTTATTTTTTTTTATTTTGGATGGAATCTCACACTGTCACCTGGGCTGGAGTGCAATGGCATGAACTCGGCTCACTGCAACCTCTATCTCCCAGGTTCAGGAAGTTATCCTGCCACAGCCTCCTGAGTAGCTGGGATTACAGGTGCCCACCCATGCCCAGCTAATTTTTTGTATTTTTAATAGAGATGGGGTTTCACTATTTGGCCAGGCTGGTCTCAAATTCCTGACCTTGCATCAGCCTCCCAAAGTGCTGGGATTACAGGCATGAGCCACCACACCTGGCCTACTTATGCCTGTTTTTTAAACTTTATTTACACTGATGAATCATAAAATATGTTCTGCTTTTTTGTCTAATTTCTTTCATTCAATTTTGTGTTATAAGATTCTAAGCATTTATAATTTAAAATAAATACTGCGTAACAACACAATCATATTCGAAAAAGAAAAGATGGTTACCATAAAATCAGTGATTGCTTGGTATATTAAGATACTTTGCACGGTTCTTACTGATTAACTTCCAATTTCTGTAAATAGGTACTTTCACTTTGCAATATTCCCAATTCATTAAATTATGATAACTAAGAAATAGTCATATTCCATATTAAAAGTTTAAAGTGCTTTGTTAAATGTGCCTTTCCTGAAACAAATTATCATTTAATGCAAAAGTTTTGATGTGGAACTAGACAATTTAACTCAGAAGTAACTATTTTCTTTTGTGATTTTTTTATATAAATGCCTCAATATTTGCAGAATATAGTCAAGAAAGAGATAAAAGTTTCTTAAAAAATCTTGTTTCCTAGAATTTAAAGATATATGTAAAACCCTATTGTCTACATATGTTACAGAGTAAGGACTCTAATTTTTATTTATTTCAATGAATATGGTAGTCTTTGGGATCTTAGAGAACTTATTTCAGGAGATGTTCATCAAGGCTAGTTGCCAGGATCATTAGCATATTTTTTCAAATCTCCCCTCTCCCTAAGTATGTTCAGTTGAATACTAGTAATTTAAACAGTGAATGATGCCAGTCATTCCAATGGGTGCCATACGTAAGAGCAATAGAAGGGATTTTTAATTTTTAGACTACTCACTTTACAACAAATACATATTTTAAAACCCAGATCTATCCTATAAGATGTGGCTGTGATTGATGTGGAGCATAGGCAATACCATCATACATAGATAACACCCACATGCTCTTTCTATAAAATTAATTACAAGATAAGATATATTTAAATCCACACTGAGTCACACCAGAGATACCAATAATAAAATTCTGAGCACGGTTTCATATCTGGGTCAAAATGTGAAAAGTAAGTGAGAGTTTCAGCACAGAGTATACTGTATGTATTTGGTTTTTCATAATTTTAAACTTATTTTTTGGCTCTTTGTTTTTTGTATTATGTTTTAGAGTGAGATGCACTCCAATGTCAGGTGTGACTTTGAAAAATTAATAACTCAGATTTTCAGGTTTCTTTATTCTTAAAATGAGAACAAGGATACTCCAAAATAGTCTTTTAAAATTGCATATATATTCTTACATATGTGTGTATACATATATATATATACTTATTTATATATATCCATACATATATATAAATATGGCCAAGTCCAGTGTAACTATTATAGTTATCTTAATTCTTATAATGGTAATTCAGAAGGTTTAACATGTTTCCATATTATGATTATCCATGAATATGTAAATTTATGAATTCAATTTAGACCCTTATGACTTCAGACATATTATCACACAATTATAACTCCCTTAGCAAAATAATGCATTAATCATTTTTCTCTTACAGAACTCAAGATGCAAGCACTTTGCTCTTATAACTCTATTTTCCTTAATTTTCTTTTCCAGCTCTCCTTTATTCCTCCAGTTCATTTTTGAAGCAATTTTACAAAACCTTTTCCTCACTTGGAATCCATGCTCTTTTGTCCAGTATACCCTCTACTCCTCCTTGTTGCTGAACATATGAGGATGTTGGTATCTCGCTCTCAGTCCACCCCTTCTACTTTAACTTCCTTCTTCCTTTCAAATTTCAGTGTTCATTGGGATGACACATCCAGCAACT